GTCAGCAGTGTGTGGGGCTGTCACTGGTGTCTCCAGAACCACTTGTGCACTCACCGAGAGAGCTGCCCTGACCAGCGCATCATCTACAGCTCACAGGTAAGAGAGGAGCCAGCAGAGGCACTGTGCCGCGCACAGTTCATACCGGGCACTACTTGTCACCTACACAGCGCAGAATGAGACTGGACACTGCCCACACACTGCATAGCACCCAGGAGTGGACACAGCACTCAGGCTACACAGCATGCAGGGTCTTGCAGTACATTGGCTGTTGTGTTGCACGTATCAGTTTGTCCAGAGGTAACTCACAGACATGCTTCCACAGGGGCTGTGTCAGTACATGTGAGTGTATTGTACTACAGCTTCAGATCCCTGATGCCCTTTAACACGCCAGCCTGAACCCTGCCTGAACACACAAGCTGAACGCTACTGACTTCCCCAGCCCTTCTGCAGCGCCTGTGCCCATTTTCCCCTGGTGCTTTTCAGTTCACTCGCTAGCTTTTTAAAATAGTCGTTAATCGTTTACTCATTAAATGTAGGCTGAAGTACTGAGTTACGTAGGTGGAAATAATGGAAGTTAAAGATCAAGATTGTGCACAGGACAGCTGTACAGAGCACTGCCAAATTAAAATGAGCTACTTGAGTCCGATAGCAGAGGAATTTTCCGCTTTTTCCTAAAACTCTTCTGTATTTCAGAAATTCGTTTTCTGCTTGAGCGTCTGCATCAGACCCTGCGAGGCCATCAGGAGCAGGCCGCCAAATGCAGTTGTGTTGCACCTGCTTGGCTTCTTGGTGTTGTGTCCCTGTTGCCCTTATTCCCTGTGAAAACCTGCTCAGGTTAATATGGCAGAGCTCTGCGCCTCAGCTCAGAAACAGGAAGCACTGGTTAAGCATCTGTTTAATCAGCCTCAAAGGACTAAATAAAATGCTCCTTGTTTTTTTATTCACTCTTTAAAATTGAAAACTAATTTTAATAATATTAACACTGTGTATTCCACCCCTCCATTGTAGCTCATGGCAAATAGATTAACGTCCTCACTAACACCTAACGCTACAGCGGTTCGCACTGCTCCATCCTCAGCCAATCCCCACTCCCTCTCGACTCCCAGTCCTCCGTCCTCCTCTGCCCTGACCAATCAGACACCTAGCGTCCCCCCATTGCCGTCCCAGCAGCAAATCAGATTGCAGAGTGCAGGTGCCACCACAGACGGAAACCCCGCCTCCGCGTCCGAGCCGGCCAATCACACTGATGGGTGGACTGGCTCCGATTGGATGGAATTGGAGGAGGGGGCAGGGCCAAACAGTAGCTCTTTCTCTTCATTGGCCGATGATGGCACGTTGCCCTTTGATCTCTGGGATTCCGTGCCGTTCAA